GACAGACAGACAGACAGACAGACAGACAGACAGACAGACAGACAGACAGACAGACACACACACACACACACACACACACACACACAGACAGACAGACAGACAGACAGACAGACAGACAGACAGACAGACAGACAGACTGACATACAGACAGACAGACAGACAGACGAACGGACATATGGACTGACGGACGGACCGACAGACGGACGGGCAGCCAGACGGGCAGACAGACATACATACAGACAGACATACATACAGACAGACAGACAGACAGACAGACAGACAGACAGACAGACAGACACACACACACACACACACACACACACAGACAGACAGACAGACAGACAGACAGACAGACAGACAGACAGACACACAGACAAACAGACAGAGAGACAGACAGACAGATAGACAAGCAGGCAGGCAGGCAGGCAGGCAGGCCTTTGTCTGTGACAGACAGAGGAGGACGTGTTTATGCGCGCGAGAGAGAAAGAGACACAAGCACAGGAATGGGGATAGAGAGAGAAGGGGATAGACAGGGAAAGATGATATGAGAGAGAGAGAGAGAGAGAGAGAGAGAGAGAGAGAGAGAGAGAGATAGAGCGCGAGAGATCGAGCGAGCATGAAAGAAATGAAAGAGAGATATGAGAGAGCTCGTGTTCATGGAAGATTCTTCCTATGACAAATATTGTTGTATGTGTTGTGCGCATCATAGGAGTTTAGGAGCGCTATTATGAACGCAAGCAGTGAATTTGAGCTGTATAGCGGAACGAAGTTGACTCGTCAATATTTGTCATAGGAAGAATCTTTCTATGACAAATAGTGTCATAGGAGAGCGTATATGCGTATGTCGTATTTGTCATAGGAAGAATCTTTCTATGACAAATAGTGTCATAGGAGAGCGTATATGCGTATGTCGTATTTGTCATAGATGCTAGCAGAACATGTTGGGTATATGTACCCACGAGGAAGCGCCGGCGACCACTGACACGTTCTTTAGGAGAACAAAATAACATTAGCGCTCATAAGTTTGTGTGAATTCCTGGCGGTGTGGGGTTTTCATCGTCGTTGATTGCAGTGATTGCAGTGATAGTAGTTGATTGACGTCTTTGCATGCCTTCTCTCTGTCGGCATTACTAAGTTACGAGAAAAAAACTTTATGTAATAATATTGTAGTTAAAAATAGAAACCGAGTAACTGAGAAATTCCTCTGTGTGTACACACGCGCGCACGCACTCACGCACGCACGCACGCATGCGCGCACACATATCTATATTGATATTCCTTGCGGCCTATTAATGCTAAAAACATTCACGTTTCAACGCAAACTGTTTTTGCATGTAAGAAAGAACATTAGGCCTAACAACTTTATCGCAGTCTGTCAACTTACTTCCTTACTTTTTACGTTAGACAATCATCATAGTCTGTCATCGGGAGCTTGCTTGCAATCATGAGTTAGGGTGTGTCAAAAAAGTTGAAACCAGACCGTGTAATTCTGCCATTTGAAGAACTACAGCTTTTAGAGATACGAAAACAACAAGAGCTCCAACCGCAATACGCACGTACAGAACTAGCTTGATATGTCGACAGAGCAGGTAAATATCCTACTACCTTCGGAGAAGGATCGCTCGGCGAGCAGATCAATGGCAGGTTTAATGATGATGACGTCACACACGAGTGAATGCGGGGCCCGTCATAAACCATAAACGTTATGACTAAGCCACGACTAGGGATTTTTGTAACGTATGCACAACGTTGTTTTACGCGTGTTGCGTGTGTGACCTACCACTAACAAATACGCATAGCAGTACGTTATATAATAGCAGTAGTAATAGTAGAGCATAAAATCCAAATACATTGTATTTTCTCTCTATTTCATTGTAGAATTGGAAACTTTTTCCACCGCTACCCCCAATGTTGATCTTTCAGATGGATAAGCATTAGACTATCATTTTCTTTATACACTCGCTTAAATTACGAGGAATATTTATTGCGAGGTTTTGAAGCGTGTCCGCTTCACGTTGGCACGCCGTAGAGCTCACGCCTTGAGGACGTCACTGCAAGTGGTTGTTTTCTTCCGTCTGCGCAGGTATCACGACGTTTTTGACGATCTACACGCAAAGCTCCGGCGTTCGCTACACGCTGCCGCCTGTCTCCTACACGAAGGCGATCGACATCTGGTTTAACGTCTGCACGGTGTTCATCTTTCTCACGCTAGTCGAGTTCGCACTCGTTAACTACGTCTCAAGGCACTACAGCAGGCCGAGTCCGAAGCGCACTCTGTCGCGGGTGAGTGGCAGTTGTTACTATAGTTACGTCGTAGTCGCTACTGTAGTTAGTTACCATAGTTACGTATACTTACATCATCTCTTAGTCATGGGTTTACCTATGCAGCCTTTCGATCTGCCAGAGGACGCGGTGGCACAGTGAAGAGCTGCTGAGTTACAAGCACGTGGTGGAGCGAAGGGCTACGCAAATAGAGCTACATGCAGGAATGTGGCGGCGTGAAGGGCTATCAGGGGTTGGCTACATCGGTAGAGCTATGGATTGTGGTGAGGCGAAAGGAGGTTTTGAAGCCCGGTGGCTTTTTGTGAATGCTTTTTTCTAATGTCTCACAAAAACAACCGATTCTCTGACTGAAGAGATATTTATCGTATTACGCAATCAGGAGAGAGCTAGGATCTCGAAAGCTGCTGGTATGTTCGAAGGTCGGCCAGAAGATAGGTTCTCTTTCTCTCTACACACACGCGCACGCACGCACGCACGCACGCACGCACGCACGCACACACACACACACACACACACACAGCCACACGCACGCACGCACGCACGCACGCACGCACGCACCCACGCACACACGCACGCACACACGCACGTACGAACGCACGCACGCACCCACGAACACACGCACGCACGCACGTACACACACACACACACATACACATACACACACACACACACACACACACACACACACACACACACACACACACACTCACACACGAGCGCGCGTGCATACACACATATATACATACAGCCAAACAGCCAAAGAAGCAGCTGCATTTGACTGCATGGAAATGCTTCGCCGCCTTCTCTTTCAGGAAACTCTTCCTAAAAATCTTTAACACGGTGTAGTTTTACATCTGCTGTAACTTTTCCTAATGCTTGTACTTACATAACGCCTCAGCGATTCTAAGCACCAGGCGCAACCAAACGCATTACGTTCGTGCACACGCACACACACACACGAGCGCGCGCGTGATTTCTTGCTTTTAAACGCACCACTTTCGTACGTTATCGGCTTTTCGCATTCTCGCCATCCTCTTCTCCGTCTTCGCCAGTAATTGCCTCGGCGAGCGTGAGATGGTAGATGGTCCGTGTAGTGTAGTGTGCTGACGCACCGCGGCCATCACGGCGCGGTGACGACGCGCGCACTCATCTCCTCAAACAACCATTCCGAATCTCCGTCGCCATCTTCGGCGAAATTCGATTTGCCGCTAGCGTTGACGGCGACTATGATTTACCCCCCCCCCCCCCACACACACACACACCCAACTCGGTATATGCTGATCGTCATCGCTAGCTAATGTGGGTGTGTAACGTTAGTTCATTTGGCACGGGTCCGCTGCGCCATTTCGTCGAAAATTATTTGCCTCCGCACGCCCTGAAGCGGGAGCAGCTTATAACGTTTGATATTCGAACATCATCAGTGTGGACTTGTAAGGAAAGTCGGATGTGTAACAGATAATGACTCTCGTAGCGTCATCTCCCATCTTTAATTTCTATGATAGCTACGTCGATCGCTAATTTTACTTAGAGACTAGGTCCCCTAGAGTGGTCTGGATTTCAGCAGAGTCACCTAAATGACCTAATGACCTAATAATTGTTTGTACGGTATGATTCAAAGTCATCCAACTTCAAGCGTCAAACTTTATTGGCAGTGATTACTTAGCGAAAGTTGTGTGGGTGAGGGAGACAAGTAGAGTCGAAGAGAGGGAGAGAGAAAGAAAGAGAGAGAAAGAGAGAAAGAGAGCGAGCGAGAGGGAGAGGGAGAGCGAGCGCGAGAGAGAGAGAGAGAGAGAGCGAGCGAGCGAGAGTGAGAGAGAGAGAGAGAGAGAGAGAGAGAGAGAGAGAGAGAAAGAGAGAGAGAGAGAGAGAGAGAGAGAGAGAGAGAGAGAGAGAGAGAGAGAGAGAGAGCGAGAGGCGATGCGAGAGTGGTGACAGTGTAGTGAGTGAGAAGATAGAGACGGAGAGAGAGAGAAGGAGAATGAGGGTAGAGAAGGAGAGATAGAGAGAGAGAGAGAGAGGAGCAGAGAGAGAGAAAAGTGAGAGGGAGAGACGAAAAGAACGGTTAGTGACCTATCGACACTGGTAAATGTAGGAATATGTTCTAATAGAGCCGATTTACTCAAGCGATGCTCTCCAATCATCATTCTTGTATGGGTTCCAGAACTCTCAATCCCGTGACCATTCTCTGGCTACACATGTTCTGACGTTGATGACTTCTATGACTTTTATAAAAACATTTTAGAACCGCTCTCCTTCAACAATGCTGGCCATTTTTCTAGGGGCAAATCCATAAATTTGCGCCGACGCCCATTTTTAAAATTCAACTTGTTTGAACAGAGCAGCTTATGAATCAATGTATAAATACACGATTTTTAACTAAATCAACCACGGAGTCTATTTGACCTATCAATTTGATGCTAAAACATCATTTTGACCAAACTAATCCAAGCACCCCCTAGCACCGATGTCTTGAACATATTACTTTATCACCAGGGACCTTCAGAATTCAGCTATAAACTACACTCTCTCCATCTAAATGCAACCTGAGGAATCCGGAATCTAATACTTGACGTTTTATATATCATTTTGAGCCAAGATATCCAACTTGGTGCCATACGCTGGAGCGAAAAACATAGTTATTTTAGTGCCGCACCGATAGTTATTAGTGAAGCCAGTGTAAGTGTAAACAGATTCTCGCATCCGTGAAGAATTAGCACAACGTTTTTGATGTACACGCTATTAATTCTACGATTAACTTACTATCCTACCCCCTCCCCCTACTAAATTCTTATTTATGTCTATCATGAAGTTGGTTAGTGTATAACATGCACATAAGCTTTGTGACAAATGTCCACATTTCCATGTGTTCGACAGTGTGAGAGGCACTATGCGATGAAGCACTGTATGCATTTTTACAGGGGATGGTTATCGTTCTCGAAAGAAGGCCCTGTTATGGAGCGGTTTCGACAAGTTTTCGGAGGTCATGCAACCGTTGATTGGTAAGAGTCAATGAGACAACGTGTCCATGATACAGTAGGTTGAGACTCTATCAGCGCGAAGAAAATTAACAGGGCCACCGTAGACAAAAAACGAGAGGAAATGAATGCCCATGCCAAGTCCATCATCTGTGTCTCGGTCCCTTTTCGACGGGCGCCCTCCAGCAGCCAAACGCCTGCGATCTTCTACAGTGATACAATAAACAAAATGTTTCTGTTTGCTGCAAGACAGAAGGCCAAGCCGTCAGAATCAAAGCTGAAGACTCATTTCTATGATATGCATGGGCGTCTTTCAAGATTCATACGGCTGCCCTTGGATCACTGGTAATGCGTGACAGAAAGAACTGCCTTTGAATCAGAGCTGAACCAACCCTACACTGTAGATTAGGGATATCACAAAATGTGGCTAAACATGTGTCTGAAATTTATACAAGATGATGATGCATAGAGGATTTGCAATGGTTACACTTCATGAAACAATGATAAGCTCTGCCGCGATTCAGCATATTCTTCGACCACATCAATATTATCTTTGAGAATGAGCTTTACTTTTACCAGAGCCTCCTCCGAGACTACCAAGCTCTATTCGTGTCTCGGTTATGGTTCCCCAACATTCTGGGTCAAGCTCATCCTAACATCAAAGACATCCTAAACCCGGGAATTTGCGGACAAGATTGCGATACTATTCCCGCCCTTGTATAACAAGCGACCTAGTTTATGTCACTTCTGGAGTGGTTCAATTATGTCGAAAGCGGTTTTCCTACATTGGTTAGCAGTGAGCAACTTGTGCACATATTTGGCCGTCCGGCTCAGGGAAGATCTTCATCAGTACAACTTGTTCCCATGGCCGCTAGGCCGAGGAGCTTGAGGAGGAGAAAGAGCTCTCGACTCTCACGAATGCAGGCTGCTCTATCTTCTTGTTTTACGGTATAAGGAGTAGATCTGTCTCCCAGCACACTTCTCCTCACGTCCAATCATTACACGAGTTATGTCGCAAATCGACCTCCACTACCAATCAATACCTCACATCTTTTCATGGCGATGATCGTAGAGTAAGGAGTTCGTAACTCGTCTTGTACCAGCTTAGGAATGTGTATCAGCTATGCGGCAACTTCTTCTCCTCCGTGATGTCTGCCATGCTATGATCTCGAACGCACGTGTCGCGGTTGTCCTGCACGAAGATCACTAGACCGGAAAACAGCATCTGAGTTCATTGACCAGATGGATGATTCTCAAACGACAACTTGACAAGGAGGGGGGCCACGGCCACGACCGCGTGCTAACTGATGATTTCTACAGCGTCACTTGAAATCAGGTGTACAGAGACGAGGACGTGCGCATAACAACTCTGACGACATATTACGGATTGCGCGTTATCAAGAGATTCAACGACTGTGTCCACAGCAATTGACTGAGAAAAGTATCGAGTTGACAGCAAGCTTAAACGTAAAGAACCATCCAAGCGTACGGTGAGCGACCCCCATCCCGACCCGAGCCCTGCTTCCTCATTCAAATACAGAGCACTCCACCGCAAAGCAGATAGCAGTATTCAATGCATGCTCGCATCTGACAGCGGATGCGACCCGCCACGGAACTGCCACAAACAAAGTATACCCTCTCTAAATAAAGTCTGTGTTTCATTCCTAGAAACCCTTTATTGTAATATTCATAAAGATAAGAGCAAGAATAGAATACCAACTATGTATTATAGCTTCAAGCGACCACAGAACAAATCTGGTGTAAAATAACCAGCCTAATGGGACAAAACTGTACTACTTATCACATTAGCACTAAGCAAATGCCATTTGCCGTCTTGAGTGGATATCATCCTGATTGTACGCCATCGTTCATCTAACCTCACCAGCTGAAGGCTTGAACCCAGACAACTACCACAAATTGTCCGTATCCATTAGGTCCCTTCCATTACACCATGAATGGATGAATCGAGACGCTATTCTACAAGACGAATAACAAGGAGAGTAGCATTAGAGAGAGTACTCGTGGATGGAGAAAGTTATTGCTGAAAGGATCTGATCGATCCGCTGCAAAGGAACCATTATAAGAAAGGCTCGCTGTTTGCAAGATAGAATACTGAGGCACTCAATCAGCAGACTGGTGAAGAAAGAATAAGTCAAATTCCTGACTTGAGCGTTAAGAACACAGAGATAAACCTTGAAAATTACTGAGAGTAATATGGAGCGTCTCCAGGAAGCCCCGCTGCTCTCATGTAGAACGGATATCCGAGAATAGAAATGCTGACCTCCGACGGAACCGCATACAGCCTTAACCTCTATTACTCATTTTAACGGATAGTGACATTTGCAGACTACTGCCAGGATTTTTTGTCCAATGACAGACGCCGCTATGCCAGAGCAGAATAGTGCACCGCAAGTCCAATGGAAACCTGGAACGGATATTGTCAATGCTCTCTACGCGCTCTGCATATCCAATGGATCGTAAGATGATATGACAAAATAACTCAGTATGGAAAAGTGCTGCCGAACTTACTGGACAATGCTGACCTCCTATACCTAGCTGGACAGGTACACAATATCCTTCGCACTGACTCACAGTCCATCACCATGCGCCTCTATACTCCATAACAATGGCAACGGATCATCGCGATCACGTTGCACGCATGATCAAGCGGCAGAAAAATTGAACTCTGGGCCTTCGTCACTCATCCATCACTTTCGCAAATGAGTAAGCAGCTGCTGCATCGCCACTCCATGAAATATGTGAACAATGTCTAGACAAGATCCGGGCCAAGTCACAATTGCCTGAACCAACCGAAACCAGTCAAGAGGAAGCCATTTGAAGAAAGAGGCCCCGAACGAGAATGCCGAGAAGATGAGACAAGTGCAGTGCAGACCTAAGTTGCAGTGACTTACAACGATTTGACTCCTTCCTCCAGTTCTCACCCATCATCACCATCCTCCGCAACATATACAGTCAGCCATTGCCTGCCAACGATGACCTCATCTGCAGATTCAATACTCAGCCCTTGCTACAGCAGAGATGATAACAATTAACCGCTTCTTGATTAGACAGAGCGTCCTTCAGTAAGAAATACCATCAATCTATGGCCTCAGTCCCTTGACGCAAACAGCTGACGTTTGCCAAAGGGACCGACACGACCAATCCAAGGAACGACCTTCAAGGCAACAGCCATTGGAGATGGAGCGGCGCGACGCATTCAAGGCAGTGAATCAACCTCCGTTGAAGTCACCAAATTAGAGTGAGACACATATACTGAGGTGCTAAAAAACATGCTGGTTGCTCGAAGAAATGACATTACTGGCATTATTTGAACTTATCAATAGGCACATACCGGCAGAACACAAAGAGTACGCTCCATCGTCAGAACATTCTCGCTCTGAATATGTCAGACTTCTACAAAAGAACCTCTTACATCCTATCTCGACAACTGGTAATGATCTGACGCCAGAAGCAAAATGGACGACAATCCACTCAAGCAGAAGACGACCAACCACGAATGGTAACAACATAAATAGATGTCGGACTAGTCCAACAAAGCTGCGCATCCACTTATCCTTCATCCCGACTGGAGAGAGAGGACTCAAACGCTATATCACAAATTGGGTATGTGAACGACCCGTTAATGACACAAGCATACATAACTTAAAAAGATGACGAAGCGAACACTGAGCGGTTGCAGAACCCTGCGCTATGAAATGTCCCCAACCACTTAGCATAAAATGCGGCATCCCTTTCACCTCTGCAGCATTTCAACGTTACGTCCATTGTAGCCTATAGCAACTCAATCTGAGCGGATACTAAGCATATGATATCGACACGTCCTACACTGACCGATCTAATTTGCAACAGCACTGTTGAACCAGAGATTGTCTACTCTTTTGCTCCCACTACGATACTAAAATCTATGTCAACCCAACAACCAATGCAGAGATAACTACACTCTTCAGCCACGTCGAGCTCCAGAACCATATACTATTCTCAATTACGCCACTTCTTGCGTCGAGTCTTCCTCCCGATTCAGTTTGCAATGACATCTGTATATATATTGAAGCACCCTAATTACACAAATGCCTCAGAATCTCACGCAGCATGTCAAATCCTTCGACCAGACATAGCTACCAATACTTGCCCATACATGCAGCATGAACTCCCTTGTAAATGTCTCATCTCGACAACAGAGACAACTAAGAAGTCGTTACTCGTCACTAGCTCATATCATGATGATGACTATGACCGCTAAACAGATGTCAAGATTTGATACCTTTGTTTGACAGCTTGCACCTTTGCATGAACAGGTATGTGACATACGCAAACTTCAGGACTATCTACACGCGGTCCTCAAGATCTGTCGCCTGGATATGCCAATATCGGTCGGCGAAGAACACCCACTTCGGCCACCGTCATGCCCGCTCTCACGTGTCCGGCAGATCACTCACTTCACGGTGAGGAAGGAACGTAAATAGAGAATCTCCTCACTTCCAACACCCAGGCATATCGAATAGATCGTCAAATTATTAGCGACAATCCAAGAGGACGCTCATGGATAGTACAGAGCTATGCGCTGATCGAGTGAAAGAGTATGTAAGAAAGAAAATCCTTATATATAAAAACGGGGTTTCGCTTTTCCTTTATCCAGATGAACGATAGCTCTCCGAACACATCTCTCTCCTCGTCGTCAACATACACTGCCTTCGCAGTACTTAGTGACACGCCACTATTCC